TTGTCTTATTTACTTCACATCAAAGATATACTACGTGTCAATTCATTTACTTTTTTTTATTTTTCCTTTTAATTTTTTTATGTGTGATCCAATTGATACAAAAAGTATGCCACTTGTTTACTTTTCATTGTTTTTTCATTTTTTCTATTTTTTCTTTTTATATATTTAACAAATGATTTTTAAAATTTAAATTTTTTTGTCTAATATATTTGATACTAAGAATATACACTTGTATAAATCATTTGCTTTTTATTTTTATTTTTATTTTTATTCACTTTTTCTTTTTTCCCTTTTTAATATATAATATATTTTTTAAATGTTGGACCCATTTTATATTATTGATTAGATTTTTTTTTCATTTTTTTATTAATTTGATCATTTTTAAAGAAAAAAATATTATGGAGGTGTCGATGTCACATCTAGATTTGATATTTTTTTCTCTTTTTCGACCTTTTATTTTTTCCCTGATTTATTTTTGTTTTTAATCCATAATATAAATTTTAACAAAGAGAACTCATATTTAAATATACTATATTAATAAAAATATTATTTAATATCTTAATTTAATAAATTTTGTTTTAATTTTTTCATAAATATTTTTTTCATTTATATTTTTTAAATGTAGAACCCATCTTTTTACCAATATTTTTTTATTTTGCTCTTCTTCTTTTTCCTTTTTTTTATTTTTTTTATAAATATTTTTTAAGATTTTAATTTTTTGTATGAAACCCGATTGATACAAGGTCATGCTAGTTTTTTTTTTTTTTTTACTTTTTCTTTTTCTATTATTTTTCTTTTTTGGATCTTTTTGATATTATTGATTAGAAATTTTTTATTTTTTTCCTTTTCAATTTGATAATTATATATATATATATATATTACAGAGATATCAATGTCATATTTAGATTTTGGCCCTTTATTTTTTCCTTTTTTATTTTTATTTTTAATCCATAATATAAATTTTGAAAAAAAAAAGAGAACTCATCATTTAAATATATATTATATAATAAAATTATTATTTAATATCTTAATTTAATAAATTTTGTTTCAAATTTTTTTCGTAAATGGTTCTTTAATTTATATTTTTTAAAAGAGGACCATTCTTTAACTAATCCTTCTTTTTATTTTACTTTTTTATTATTCTTTTCCTCTTTTTTGAATTTTTTATAAATATTTTTTAAAGATTTTAATTTTTTTTGTGGTATCCACTGGATGCCAAGGTAATGCTACATATTTGCTTTTTTTTTTCTATTATTATTTTCTATTATTATTTTTTCTTATATATTTAATAAATATTTTAAAATTTTTAAAATTTTTTGTGTGACCTATGATGCAAAAAATATATCGCATGTTAAGTCATTTACTTCCTTTTTCTCTTTTCTTTTTTTTTTTTATTTTTCTTTTTCAAATAATTAATGAATATTTTTATATTTTAATTTTTTAATTGATGCTCATTTAATATTATTAATTAAAAATATACTTTTTTTATTATTTAATAATTTTTAAAAAATGATATTATAGAGGTGTTGATGTCACTTCTAGATTTATTTTTGTTTCTTTTTTTTTTTTATCTTTATTGCTTTTTTGGTTTTTTACTCTGTGATAAAATATATATTTTATTATAATTTAATTTTATATTTATTTATATATATTATATTAATAAAATTATTATTTAATACCTTAATTTAATAAATTCATATGTCATTCTCACTTCATTTTATTTTCTTTTTTTCTCATTATTTCTTTATTTATATTTTAAATTTTGCATATGTACGAAAATTTTTCGGGGTGCATGTGGTATTTTAATGCATTTTTTTTCTTTTTTTTAAATATTTATCAATATTTTTATATTTTTAAATTTTTACGTGTGAGATACATTTGACGTCATAAGATAAATTTTACACATATACGGTTATACAGTGCTTTTCAAGGAGGCTTTTACGTGACACTTTGTCTTCCTTTCTCATTTTTCCATGGGTACCACCACCCCATCCACTCTTTTTTTATTTTCGGTGGTTTTTACCTCTTTTTTCAAACATAATTTCCTCTTTTTCTTTTAGGTGGGTCCTGCCTACCTTTTTTTTTTTTTTCCAAACCCCATTCGATTTTTTTTTTCGTCATCTCTTTTTTTGGGTGAGTCTTATCTTTTTCTTTTTCAATTTTTTTTATGAGTCCTTCCTCTTTTTTAATATTTTTCTTTTAATATCTTAATATTTTTATTTTATATTAAATTAATTTAATGAAAAAAAAGCCAGTGGAGGTGTCTATGCGTCATTTTCATTTGATTTTTTTCACTTTTTAAAAATATTTTTAATTAGATAAATTTTACAATGAAAAGTGTTAATTGATAGAGATGACAAAATAATTTATACCTAATTATTTTTTATTCATCTCAATCCAATCGAGGGTAATTTTTTTAAAATCAATATCAAATTGGGATGGATCGAATTTTTTTAAAATGGGTCGAAAGCATATCTAAAATGTTTTATCCTAATCATAGTTATTAGAATCAGATCGAACATTAAACCATTCAAAGTTTTGAGTCATTAGTTCAATGATTCAACCATCAGGTCAATAGATTAATAGTTGGTTCAATAAAAATATTAAAAAAATATAAATATTTTAAAAATTTAAAATTCAAACTTTTAACTAAAGTTATAGTTTAATAATTTAACTTTAAAACTATAAATTTTAAGTTATATCATAAACTACAAATTTCAAAATATAAAATTCATAAAACAATTTATTACTAGTTAGATATAAAATTACTTAACATTTTATTAAAATCATATTTTATATTTTAATAGTTAAAAATAATATTTATATTTTAATAAATATAATAAAATAAGTAATAAACAATTATAATTAATTATTATTTATATTTATTAAAATATAAATACTATTTATTAATATATAATAATTAATCTTTATGTAATAAAAAAATATCTATATATAAAATTAATGAAAGGGAAATATTTATATTTATATGAAAATTAGTAAAAAGAAAATTAAAATATTTTTATATTTTTTATATGAATGCAGATTTTTTTTTATTAATTTTACATATATGCATTTTTTTATTAATTATTTTCGATCGTGGTCAAATAATTAATCATTTTTATTAATTTTATATATTATTATTTCTATAATTATTTTTAATTATGATATCAATTAATAAAATTTTTTGTTAGATCATTTTTTTAAATTGCTTATTTTTATACTTATATAAATTTTTTTACAATATTATTATTCACGTGTCAAAATATGCTAACATATAATTAATATAAGAATTAGGGCTTTGATAGTAAAAAATAAGAATTATGGGGTTTATTTAGATGAAATAGTAATATAAGAGTTTAATTATATTATTTTGAATACTTGAAGGGTTTTTTTTTCATATTTTACCTAAACTTATTAGTTGATATTGAATTAGTCTAATTAAAAAAAAACAATCCAATTTACTGATTTATTACGTAAACTGCATGTTCACAATAGTTTAAAACGATTTAATTGTAAAATTGATCTAATTATAGAATTGGATTGGTTTCGACATCGATTCACCGATTCACTCGGTCGAACCGGTGATCCGATTCAGTTTTGATAATTATGGTCCCAACGTATTTTAGGGAATATATAAAAAATATATTTTATTATTAATTTTATTTTATACTTATATATAGATTAATAAATTTATTATTTAATACTTTAATTTTTAAAATTAATATTTTTAACTAAAAAAAATGTATGTATGGTCAGGAGTCATGTGATCTGTTGATAAAGTATTAAACCCTTAATTATAATGATTATGGTTCAAATTTTTGTAGCCTCAAGTATATAACAAAAAAGTGTTTACATGCCACCCTTCGTGAAGTCATTTTTAATCTTTTTTTTGTATTTTTTTTTTCATTTTTTTGAGGCTTTTTATTTTTATTTTTTTAATTAGATTTTTTCTTTTTCATTTTATTTTTAAATTTTTTTGTTCTTGGTTATGGCAAATATCCTGTTAGCTAAATAGGCATCAAAACTACCTAAAAAAAGTCAAAGTGCACCTTAGACTGAAATTGATGAATTGTTGTCAAAAACATTGTTTTAGATCGATTAATAGAAATAGGAGAATTCTCCCTTTTTATTGATAAATTCTTTCTTTTTGTATTCCTACTCTTTCAATTGATTTGAAAACAGCACGTTTATATTACTTTTTGTTCATCTTCAAACATAGTTGCCATCATAAGAAGTATTTTTATGTTTTTTTATTTTGTTTTTATTTTTACTTTTTAAAATTTTTTTGGGTTTTTTATTTTTATTTTTTAATTAGACAAATTTTGTGAGGAGAGGATGCCAATAAATGTATCCACATGTCATTTTCATTTGGAATTTTTAAACTTTCATCTTTTTATTTTTTTATTTTTTAATTCGATAAATTTTATAATAAATTAAAATTTTAATTAATAAAAATTAAAAATAAAAAAACTTAACCTATGACAACCCATGAATAATCCATCTAGTGACTTTTTAAATTTCTTAGTATGGCTACCTTTTGTCATCTCACTTCTTGGGTTCTATTGACTCCAATTAGAAACATTTTTAAGCTTATAAATTTTGATTTCAAAAAAACTGCTCGCTAGATGAGAAGCGAGGGTGTTTCTCCTATGGTTGAGTCTTACTTCGCTTGCAAAAGGTACAGGGATCGATGCCCCCCATCTCTAATTAAGTTTTACTTATATATTTCAATTATTATAAAACGTAGCGTTTTAGTTTTTAATATAACAATAAACGAAAACATCGAGTTTTTTCTTACATAAGGGCACGTTAAAATCTTTATTCCTAAACAAAAGGACTTTTAATCTTTTTCCTTAAATGGAGTACTAAAAGCCACGTCAATTACATATCCATCATCTACATGGTTGGATTGCCCACGGGGAGTTGAATTAAATTTTTTTTTTCCTTTTTTCCTTTCTCCCTACCACTTCTATTAACTAAAGCAAAGCAGATAAAATCTGCTTCAAAGAAATAAAATCTTTTGTCAGTTGAGACATCACAATAGTTTTACAACAAATACGTTTTTTTTTTTTTGAAGAGAATAAATATATTTAGTAAATGGAGAAATAAATTTTAATGGCAAAGGAAAAAACTCCAACAATCAAATGGGAAATAGTGGAGAAAGTGATGAGAGAATGGGATGATTCAAATCTCAACAAACATTATGGAAAGGCAAAACAAAAAAAAAAAAGATTCTTCTGAATTGGAGGGAACCTGAAATGAGGTGGAATAAACTTAATGTTGATGGCAATTGGGACTAATAAAACAATAAGACAGGAGTTGTAGGAGTTATCGGAAGAGAAAAAGGAAAAATGGTGACAAGGTTTCTTTATTCTATTGGCGATTGTTTTATTGATCAAGCAAAGTTGTGGGCGATCTATCATGGAGTTAACATTACCCAAAAAAAAAAACATTTAGTTAATTTACAAGACCCCAAGAATAACATATTACAATTCTTAAAATCTGATTTCCTGAAATCGGCCATCGGTTTTTTTTTTCTTCTTGCCAACGTGCATGCAATTCTCCTTCTATTAAAATTTCACAATTTAAAATAATAGAAAATATAGTTTTTTATATATACACGCCAAAATAAGAAAGGAAAAAGAATAAAATAAAAAGGCAGAAAAAAAGAGAAACTTTGGCAACTTGTACTTGTTCCTGTTAATACCGCTTCCTAGTCAACTCTCTCTGGTTCATGTCAAGGGGAAAGACAGAGGAGAGAAAAAAGGAAAGGTGAATTTGGAAATCTTCGTTGATTCGCGTTGAGGTAAATGGATTTTCATTCACATACTTGAATTTCTTGCTTTCTCTCTCCCTCTCTAATGTTTTGGGATAAAGTTCTCTTGATGTAAGGTGCCGTATGTCTGAGTGTTTGGATGTAAGTGATCGAGAATCATCAATCTTGGTTGTTTAATGATTTTCAATTTTTTTTGGGGGTCGGGGAGGGTTCTTTTAGAATTTTTCTTCAAACAAAAACAGAAATTTATCAAAGGAAATCAAAATTGGGTTTACAGAAACTTATCAACGGAAATCAAGGATAGGTTTTTTTTTTTTTTAAATATGAAGAAAGCATGAAGAAAAAAAATATAGAGTAGAACCTTTTCATGATAATCATCTATAATTCATGCAGAAAGTAACACTGAATCTCCATATTTTATTAATCATGAGAATCTTCTTTTACTACTACTTGTAGCATTTCCTTTCCTTTGTTGAGGATATATGGAAGAGAAGAAATTGAGAATGCAAGAGAAGCCGGCCTCTACCAGAGAAATTTTCTGCCTTTCAGGACCTTTACACCTCACTGCAGTTGACTGGTAATGACCTTTCTTTCATAGTGAGGGAGTAACATTATTAAGAATTTCTAACTTACGTTTACATCTTACATTTTTTTCTGAACAACATTGCAAGATATGTCTTGGCATTAAGACAATTGATAAACTTGGAAGTGTAGGAATATCAAACTCCTGGAATTTGTCAAGGAGACTAATCCAAAAAGGGTCGTAAGTAGCATTGCATCTTAATTCATAAGAGTTCTTTGAATGAGCATTCTTAAATTGTTAACAGACTAACCAATGTTGTTGAGAATGGAGCGGACAAACCTTAATGCTAGTACATAATGTATGATAGCAGTTAATCATAAGCTGAAACCCCTTGTCTCTAATCAGCACAACTCATGCTGATAAAATTATTATGAATAGTAAGAAAAATAGATAATTTGACCCCAAGAGTTTTGTCTAAGATTGGGGCTAGTTACCTTAATACTTTGACTACCATTCTACTTTCTTTAAGCAAGATAAAATTTCAGAGGATATGTTGGTGAACACAACCCCTTAAAGCCAAAATCAGTGAAGTCAGCGGCCAAAGCTGCACTTATGAACATGCTTTAACCACAAGCTGTGAAACATTTAGTTATGAATAAAGATTGTACCACTGGCAGAAGTTTAACTGTGTGATATTCAGCTGGCATGACTTTGGATAGATTTCTAACTAGTTTTTAACTGTATTTTTAAAAAAGAATTGTTCAACTCAAGGCATTTGATAGTAGATGTAAGAGGTTATTTGTGTTACATTGATAGGAATAACTTTCATCATCGAAGATCTGTAGCTGCAAGCTTGGTTCAGGGAGTGTACATTTTAGAACGTGACCGCCAACAGAATCGCCAAGGCCCCCAAGCTCATGCGCCGCCTTGGTGGGACTTCTTCAATTTCCAGTTGATCCATCAGCTTGTAGATGATGTTGATAGCTCCATTTTTGGTGCCATTTATAAATTCAATTCTTTTGCTTTCAATTACAACCATTCTGCCCAAAGTGCTCCAAATTATGTTATTGCCTTTCGGGGTACCATAAATAAGTCTGACAGCATGTCTCGCGATCTCAAGTTGGATCTCCTGAGCATCCGTAATAAACTTCATGAAAGCTCCCGTTTTCAACTTGCAATGCAGGCTGTGCAGCGTATAGTTGCGGTTGCTGGAACTTCAAGTATTTGGTTAGCTGGCCATTCACTGGGATCAGCTATTTCATTGCTTGCTGGGAAGAATGTGACTAAGATGGGTTATGGTATTGAAACTTACCTCTTCAATCCCCCATTCTTCTCTGTCCCTCTAGGAATAATCAAGAATGAAAAGCTGAAGCATGGTATTCGCTTTACAAACAGCATAGTCAAAGCTGGAATAGCTGTTGCTGTAAAGGGTTGCCATCAGAGGCGTCAGCAAGATGATCCATTTGTTTTACTGTCTGCATGGAAACCAAACATGTTTGTGAATCCTGCAGATCCTATATGCTCTGGGTATATCGGCTATTTTAAACACAGGAAGAAGATGGAGGAGATTGGAGCTGGAAAAATTGAGAGGATTGCAACACAGAATTCCGTAAGGAGTTTATTGTCAGGTTCACTGAAGAGCGATTCAGAACCTCTTCATCTGCTTCCTTCAGCCTATCTCACTATCAATTTGAGTCAGTCTCCAGATTTCAAACGAGCTCATGGAATTCACCAGTGGTGGGATCCTAGTTTTGTTGGTCAGATAGAACTGCATGAGTACAGGTAGTACTTCTAAGAACACTGCATAAGGGAAAAGGTCTTTTCCTCTCTTTGTTTTTTTTTTTCCTTTCTGAGATATGCCTAAAGGACAGTTATATTACTGACTTATTCGTTGATATGTCTATTGATTTTCTGTTTCCCAGTGTTAAGAATCAGATAGTGCTTGTAGCATTCCAATTTCTAAAACATTATATCTACGTTGTGCATGTTGCGGCTATGTTTTTTTGTAATGCAGAGGAACTTTGGTGGACTTGAGAATCATGCTTGGTCATGTTGGTCTCTTCTTTGGTCTCACTTCAGGCTTTGCACTTCTTAATCTATACTATCTATCTATTAGAAGAATCCCAAAAGAATTACATGATGACACTTGTCCAACACCTTGAAATTATTGTCTTACTTTTAGATAATGTTTGGTATCATTTTCAAAATTATTATGATAATTTAATTTCCGAAGTGATTTTATTATCAAAAAGATTTTATCACTCATGATTTGAAAATTTTTTTTGGTTAAAAATTATTAATTTTTAATAATTAAAGATCATTGTGTTTAGTATTACTAAAAATTAGATATTATTTTATTTGAAAGTATTAAAATAACCATGCATATTATAATAACTACATAAGTTAATGATTTTAATGCTATTTAAAGATAATAATTTTTATATAAAATATTAGTAATATTTTGTTTATTTCATAATAAATATAATTAAATTATTAAATTAAAAATATATTAATTGATAGTAAACTAGTTTTTATAATATAAATTATGTAAAAAAAATTGGAATTACAAAATAGAACTAATATATTAAAATTAAAAAATTTTATTATAAATAAATTTTAAAAAATTAAAAAGATCACATAAAATATTTTTGAATTTGTTACAATAAATATTAATTTAAAAATATAAAAATTATAATATAAATAAATAACAATTAATTTTAAGTAAGTTTTTAATTTACATATTAAATTGGTAATATTGAGTATTATTAATTTTATATACCATTTTATCTCAATGATAAAAGTTTTTGTCTCTTTAGATGGAAATTATATCATCTTTCAAAATAATGATCTAATCACTTTCAATAATTTAAGATTACTGCTAAATAGGATCATGAATGGTTACTAAACACAGTGACATAATCACCATGTCAAAATCATCATAATTTTTTGAGTGATCACTTCATGCCAAATTTTACCTTAATGTAAATAAGTTTACTATCTCACATTTCTCTATGGAAAATATTTTATGATAATAAATTCATTAATAAATTGTGAAAGTTTTCGAGTTAGAATATGTTCAAATTGGAAAGTATTAAATATTTTATGACAATATTACTAAGCACTAAATTAGAAATTCACTAATAAATTATCTCAAACCATTAACTGTAATCTAGCAAAGAATTTAAGCAATAAAACTTTAATTCTATTCAAAGTAAGAATATATATGGTTAATAATACAAAACTAAATAAATAAAGATCAAAGGTAAAATCAATAACTAACAAATGCATGTGATAAAAAAAGTTAAACTAAATATAAAAATATTTAGCTTTTTCATTTCAGATATTTCAAATTTCAACAACAAACAATATTTTATAACTCATATGCCCCCAGACCTCAAAGCAAATTAAATAAATTAAAAATGAAAAAATAGATCATGTATAACTAAATTTCAATTATATAATAAACTTAAAATAAGGCACTCACATTTAGTTATATTGAAAGCCAAAGTTCTTCAATTTATTCTCTCTAATTATATGGAGTATGCTCGACAACTAAGTGAACATCCTTGATATCCTTTACAACTTGAATCTCTCATTATCATGGTAGCCAGCATCAATAGGTTAAATATTTGAGTTGAAGTGATCATTTCAAGTTTATTATGGACAATAATATTAACCTAAATACTACATAAACCCCTTAAATACCTAAAAGCTTAACAGTATATTTAAAAGCAACATGCCTACATCATTTCCATAATATCTTAACTATGTTGTAGACAATAACATTAGTTAACATAATATTATAATGACAAAATTGAAGTCAATGTAGTAAGAGTATCAAAAAGAGCATATAAGAATTCATCAATGAACTGAATACATGTAAAATACATGTTCAAGAAAGACAAAGCTTATTAAATAGAAAAAATATATTATCAATTATGCAAACCATGAATTTGACTTGAAAGAAAAAAGCTAATGTAATGACCAATTCAAAGTCCTGCCTTATTTCCTATCTCTTCACTCACCTTTAACCTTTCTATATCTTCTCTCCCTTATTCTCTTTCATCTCTCATCTCTTTCAAATACTTCAAAAAGAATTATAGGGAAATCTAATATAAGAGCAAAGGAAAACACAACCATAAATATAAGACAAAGTGCATGTCAAACAATCATTCCAAATTTTGCATTTGTTAGCCCTATAGTAGATAATTAATTAAAGATGTTGGCCCTATAGTTGACCATAAATCAATCCTATGTATTAATTTCTTTTTGTTTCAATAACTTTTAAAGCATATATGTTTTTTTATAATGACAAAACTTGCATGATGGATGAAAGAAGATAAAATATTGAAAATAAAGTATCCTTTGAAGTACTATAGATAAATCTATATTTCAAAATAATTATGAATGACTAATAATAGAACCAACACATGTAAAATACAATAATATACAAAATACGGGTTTGAATTAATAGCAAGAAAGGATAGAAAGCGTAAATTAAAAGAATTATAGACATCAAATCCATTTATAGCCTAGAATAATCAAACAAATATTGCTTTTGTTTAAACAAAACCAATAATAGAATTTATAAAATAATAATAGAAAAATATTAGAATCAATAACTATTAAGAACCAAGAAAATACAGTAATATGCAAAAGTAAAACACATAATCTTCAAAATTACATCATGTCTAACTAGCCAATTACCTTGAACTATCATTGTTAATGGCTAGCCCAATCACTAAAACAAAAAAATAGAGAAATATTAATTAGATAAGTTTAATTTAAAAATAAATTCAAAATTCAAAATAATTCTCATAGTGAAATTAGAAAATATGATGAAAGGTTTGTACTTCTATACATTTTTTTCCCTTTACCTTGAACTTGAAGGAAGTTTCATTGCATATGGGTTTCAAATGGAATTTTTAAGGAAAAAACCACAAACCTAAAGGAAATTAATATGCAAAAATTTAGTAGTACTTTCAACCTTTATGAAATAGTAGCTATAGAACTAAGATTCAAAGTTATTAAGTCTTATGTGCTTCCTTACAAGTTAATTACAAAACCAAGCACCAATATTTTCTTTTTCAATTTTGTAAATTCCCTCCAAATTTTCAGTTCACTTGAAAGCTGAGAGACGGTACAAACTTATTAGCATTCACATCTAACCAACAATAATATTTTAAAATAATAATAGTAAAACATTAGAATAAATAACTATTACAAACCAAACAAAATTAAAAAAATAAGTAAAAAAAAAAAAAAAAAACACAACCTTTAAAATTACCTCAAATCTATTTGAGAAATTACCTTGAACAATCATTGTTAATACCTATTCCTATCATTAAAACAAAAAATAAAAAACAGTAATTAGATAAATTCTATTTAAAAATAAGTTAAAAAACTCAAAAAAATCTCAAATTCATTAATGACATTTTTGACGAAAAGCAGAGGGACTTCAGTATTTCACCAACTAGGGCCATATTGGGCATGCTTCGTGACATTCCTAAACGTGCTTTGTAAGAATCTCATCAACAAATCAACACTGCTTTCTTTTTTGTCATCTTCGTCGCCCTCCTCTTTCTTCACTAAATCATCGAAGAAAGGTTCGTTTATCCCCTCTGTTTCTTCACTAGCTGAACCATCAAATTGGGAAAAAAAAAAACACTTATGGGTTAGTGGCAAATTGGTTTTTTAGCAAAATAAAGAAAGAGAGTTTTTGATTAATAAAGCCACCTGACTATGAAAAAAGGACAAAATGGGGGGTTTGGGGTTTTGAAATTTGTGAGGGAAGGAATTGGTTGCAAGTGAGGAGAATGAGAAGTGAGGAAGTTCTTGGTTATAATTTCTAAAAGTTTCGACTAAAAACTAAAAATAAAGCTGCTAATCTATAAATTCATTACAAACAAACGGTCAAAACTTGTATCCAAAATCAAAGGATCAAAACTCATATTACATGGGAGATAAGATAGATAAAAAAAGGAAAAGAAGAAGAAAAATGGGGAAAGGCACATGCCCTTTAAAATATAAAAAAATCAACAAAAGAAAATTTTTTTATAGAACTAATAGAAATCTTAGTTCTGTATGCAATGAGAAACACAAAAAAGAAACATTGAAAAACCCAAAAACCTATAAAAGAAAATGCTTGAAAGAGAGTTAGACTCAAATATTAGAATGGCAAGATTGTACGACAAAAGCTGGTCGTCTCATTTTCTTTTTCCATAGGTTTATTAGAGAAAAATCGAAAGAAGTAGTGAAAAAAAGAGAGCAAAATAAAGAGAAACAGGGAAAGATAATTTGGAAAAAAAAGAAAAAAAAGACAGAGCAAGAGTATGAAACTCGGGTGGCTGTGAGAAGAACGTATTTTATTAGTTTCTTTTTCTTCAAGTATTTTTAAAATTTTTTTGCTCGTTTTCTATGATCTATTGTTTTTCCTTGTTATACCTATTAAGAACTCCTACCACGTAATATTTAGTAAACAATAGGTGGCAGTAAATTTTTTTTTATACAACAAAAATTGTAATTAATAGATTTTTCCATGGCAAATGATAAATTTGGACAACTGTTGCTCTTCTAAATGTCCATAGACTCCTTTAATATAGAGTATAAGTTCCCGGAAAAACAAGTTCTCTAGCAGGGCATGGAAACTTTCAAAGATATAAAAAAAATAACTAAAAGCAAAACAATAGAAATGAGAACCCAAGCAAACAAAAAGTCAGTTGTGAAGCCCAAATCCTTTGGGATCTTTTTAGTATAAGAGGTTGTAGATGAGTCTTTGGATATAATGATAAAATTACTCGAATTTGAAAAAAAAAAAAAACAAGAAAACTATAGGTACATAACTTCTAAAATTTGCAAAATTTAAAGCTGTGGGCTGTGGTGCTTATGCCTAAGTACCCACAGATTGAGATTGTGATGATCTTTAAAATGGTTTAGGTTTTTTTTTTTTTTCAAAAAAAAAATCCTATAGATAAATTAATCCAAATGAATTTTGGATATGAAATTCTTTTTTAGATTTAAAGTTCTAGAATTTACTAATTTAAAATTTCAAAAATATACAAAAAAAAAAAAAATTAAAACATTAAAAAAATTCAGAATTCAAGAAGCTATTGACCTTCAGAGTTATACCTTTTGGGTTGATGAACCAAAAAAGACATGAATAAAAATAAAAACAATGAATAGTCTAAATAATAATGATCCCCTCGTAATCAAAGATTGCATTCACGTGAATAATAGAAAATTTAAGGATAAATGACTCAAACCAAATGCTAGAAACATGAACTATATTGCTCCCATAATCATCAGGTTCCCAGACAACCAACCACAAGTTAAAAGATGGTTTCAAATTATCAAAATATATATTAAATATAAGATGAATAAAATCAAAAGCATAAAATAAACAGTAAATAATTGTATACAACTTAAACGATGGAACGTAAAAAGGAAAGATTTTGATGTAGGAGAAAAAAGAAGGGGTAAGCCCCCGTTGGATCTACATTCTGCATCTTTCTGGAAACTTCCAAAAAAAATTTTCGAAAATTAAAAATTATTTTTTAATTAAAAAATCCAAAAACAAAGATATGAACTTCATTCTTAGAATTTCGAATTTTCTTTCAAGAACTCATGTATACCTTGAAAAATAAAACAAAATAAGATGTAGAATTTTCTTCTTAAATTCCAAAACAAAGTTTCTAAAAATTAAACAATAATTCACCACCATAACTGTCGTCCACCACCACAGTCAAACAATAAATAATCAACAATCAAATTCTAAGCTTTGAAAAACTTTCAAAATTTCTTTCCATTTTTCAAGAACGGAAAAAAGCAAAGAATAGTTTTGGAGAGATTGAAGGCAAAAGGTGCAAATTTGAAGAAGAGTTTGGAGAGATTGATGGCCAAGTATGCAAATTTGATGAAAAGTTTTAGAGTTAAAAAGAAAAAAAAGGAGCGAAATTGTTAAGAAAAAAAAAAAAAAGAACGGAGGCGGAAGTGGAAGAAGAGAAAGGAAGAAGGTAAAATTTAAGGTTTTAATTCGGTATACCTTGGTAATTTTTGATACAAAGCCATTTTGGGACAAGGCAAAACAAAAAAAAAAAAAAGTTAAAGAAGAATCGGGCAAATTTTGCCTTAAGCCCAAACTGTATCAATAAATATAAGTTAAAAATAATAATATTTAGAAATATATGTGAAATTAAGCATAAACAAAATTGAAATTAGATGGAAAAGAGAGAAAAATCAAGCTCAAATATTATAGAGGCTCGATTTTTCTTTTAAACACCTTCATCCTTTCACTTGAATTTTTTTTTTTCCAAAAAAATCCAATGTTGTATATGACTTTCGACTCTGGAGAGTTTGTAAAAACTTGAAAATCAGAAAATGAGACTTCAGAGCTAAAGATAGATTTCTTAAAAGTATTTGTAAACTTATAACTAGAAGGAGAATTTTTGCAGGAGAAATGAGCATCATCGAAGATCAATTGCTTTGAGCTTAGTTCAAAGCGTTTATGTTCTAGAACGTGAGCGCCAGAAAAATCATCTAGAACGTGGGAATCCTTTAATTTTCAACTCAACCATCTTCTTGTAGATGACGGTGATCAATTAATTTTTGGTGCCATTTATGAATTCAACTCCTCTGCTCACAATTCTACAGAATCTACACCTACAAATGCCCCAAATTTGTTATTGCCTTGCTGATTACTCTGAATACTGCAGCCTCTATCTCCCTTGATCTCAAGTTGGATATCCTATGCTTCTGCTCCCGATTTCATCTCACCAAGAAGTTTGTGGAGGACATAGCTGCTACTGCAGATTGATCCAACATTTGGTTAGCAGGACATTCACTTGGCTTAGCCGTGGCTTTGCTCGGTGTAAAGAGCTTGACTAAGATGGCTTGTTTGGTCGAAACTTACCTCTTCAATCCCCATTCATGTCTGCGCCAGCAGAAATACACAAGTTGATAGTATTGAAAAATGGGATTCCCTTCACAAATAGTGTAGTTAAAGCAGCACTGACAATTGCCATAAAGGGTCGCCATCCAAAGCCTGAGCAAGATGATTCATTCACTGCATTATCTACATGGACTCCTTACCTGCTTTTGAATCCAATAGATCTTGCTTGCTCAGAGTATAAGGGCTATTTTGAACACAGGAAGAAGATGGATCAGATCGGAGGTAGTAAAACCAAAAGGCTTTCAACATAGAATTCAACTGTCTGTCTCTTCTCAATCTTGTTGAAGAAGAATTCAGAAGCATTGCATCTGCTTCCTTCAGCTTATATGACTATTAATCTAAGTTCACTTCCAAATTTTAAAACAGCTCATGGGATTGAACATTGGCGGGTCCCTAATTTTATTGGTCAGGTTGAACTACACCAGTTCAAGTAATCTGTCTGAGACAATTTATTTAGTGGATGGATCAATCTATTCCCCTGTTGGAAATCAATTTGTTGCCTAAACACTAGTAACTGAATTGAAGAGGAAAAAACTAGGTGTTCAAGAATTGAACTGGTTCTTTCCAACATATATCCTCAACATTGTCGTGTGGATTAGACATTACCCGGAGTCTTGGACCAAGGCTAGGGAATGTTGTAGTCCTTGTGCGTGACTTGGTCTGAACATTTTTCTTTGGCATGGATGGTAAGTTCAACTATGAGCCTATACTTCTTGTTTAGTGAGTAACTGACTACATAAATAGCTTTAAAAGATTTGGTTGGTGGAAGTGTGAACTGCTTTGGTTTTAATTTTTATTATGTGAGTGGCAGCGACTGCCGCATATTAGTTTCATGCAACAACATTCAGATCACATCACCCTTAACATGGGAGTAGATTCATGGTTAGAATCTTATTAACAACCTAAGAAAACAAATTTATATTACCAAAAACTAAAAAATTGCTTAGTTTACTTGTAAGATTTAGTTTGATTTTTATTGTCAGTAGTTTTTCTTGACAAATTAATTCAATGTAAGTTATGGTTGAGACTTGAGTGCTCTAAAATGTCCTTCAATTTCTCTTCATGATTCAGTTTTTTTTTTTTTGTAAATGAATTATTTAATTATTTTTTTTTACACAAAATTTCAAAAATAAATATTTAAAAAGTCATAAATTTTTTCGAAAATAAATTTATAAACAGTCATATAATTTATTGAAAATAGATTTTCGAAAACCTTGGATTTTCAAAAATTTTTGAAAGTTTCTGAACATTCATTTTTAGAAACCGTTAAAATATTTTAAAAATCTATTTTCAGAAGTTTTAAATTACATCAAAACCTTTTAATATGAAATTTTATAAAATTAAACATAAAATTAAATGAAAAAATAAAAAAAACAAATGATTTATCTTTGATTTTATGTTTTTTTACTTCAAATGTATAAAATTTTCTCTAAATTTGGCTTGATTGGATTTAAAATCTTTCAAAGTTTTTGATTAGGAAGAGAGAGAGGAGACGGAATGTGAGAGAAAGGGAACGTGGTGTTCTGGTTTTTTTGATAAATTTATGTTTTAAATATAAGGTGTATTGAGTAAAAGGTAATTAAATAATTTAAATTACAAAAAAATAAAAAATATTGAAATGTGAAGTAAAAATACTGAGATGTATTTAGCAGTACTCTTCAGACTTGTAATAGGCCTTACTTTTAAAATGGATGGTGTCTATTTATTTAATTTAAAAAAAAACGAAAAATAATTTAATCCAAGAAAATATATACAAAATTACAAGCCCTGATCCAACTCCCACGAAACCAGTTTCGGGGCTAAGGCTTGCATGCAAGTATTCAACTGATTGGGGCCGTTAGAAGAGAAAGAAATTCCCTAACATTTGTAAATTTATACTCCCTCCGTTTTATTTTTTTATTTATCTTTTTTTAAAATGTTTTAAAATTATTTTTTTAATATTTAAAATTCTTTTCTAAAAATATTTTATATATTTTTAATATTAAAAATGATGAAAGTATAATTTTATAAAAAAATAAAATTTAATATTAATTATATTAAAATAAATTTTTTAAAACCTAAAAAAAATTAATAACAATAGAACAATTTGAGATAGAGGAAGTGATTTTTGAAAAATAAGAAAATATCAATTTAAAAGAATAATTATCTTTTTAAAAAGTATTAATGGGAAATTTTTTTAAGAAAATTAAAATTTTTGTGTATTTATTTTAAAAGTTAATAAAAATTTACGTTTCATCGTTATTAGATTTTTTTTTTTTTTTTGGAGAGAAAGTGTATGAAGATATTAGCACTAAAAATATCGTACTTTTTTTTCCCCATATTCAACTCGCTTTGGAGAAGACTGAAAGACCCAAACACCCAAAAAGAAAAACAGAAGGAAAGAGGCGAATGAATTCTTCTTGCTTAGGAAGAAAGCCGAGAACAATGGCTACCTCATTGTCATTACCTAAAAATACCATCACCGACATCCTCTCTAGATTACCCGTCAAATCCCTAACCCGATTCAAATCCGTTTCCAAAAACTGGGCCCACCTCACTTCTACCCCTGCTTTCGTAGCCGCCCATCTCCGCCGCTCTTCTCCCAACCCATCTCTTCTCATCCGCCGCTACCATACCCAATCAGGTTGGGACTGCGAGATGCTGATCACTAACCCCACTCAAAATTACGGCACCCAGCTCTTGCGTATTCCCTTGGAAGAATCACTTCCTCGGTTTCCGAAAATCGTCGGTTCCGTCGATGGTTTGGTTTGTCTCGATGTTTCCCCTTGTTATGCTTCTGATTTCGTATTGTGGAACCCTGGTACTAAGCAATTTAAACGCCTCCCTTTTCCTTTGATTAGTTCCTCCAGGAGTAACCCTATTTGGTTGGTCTTTCTTGGGTTCGGCTTTGATTCTTTCAACAATGATTATAAACTAGTCAGGATCGTTTCTTTTAGAGGAAATGATGCGTCGTCTTCTCTAAGGGTTGAAGTTTATTCATGGAGGGAAGGGGTTTGGAAAGAAATAAACGAAAGTTTCAAGTTAGGTTTGCTATGTGGAGGACAGGATGGAGTGGTTGTTGATGGTAGTTTGAATTGGGCAGCCATTGGATTACAAAGTTTCGCCGATCGAAAGGTTCTTATTTCTTTTGATATGGGAAGAGAGGTGTTTAAGACAATACCATTGCCACCCGTTACTCGATATGGTAATGTTAAGGTTATGTCTTACATGGGATCATTGGCCATTGCTGTATATCCATTAGTTTTTGCTGCTAATGGTAATAATATTAATCGGTTCGAGTTTTGGGTAATGAGTGATCGTGAAGATGGGGTGAAAGATTGGACTAAAATGGTTGTGGTTGAGAATTTTTCCAAGTCTTTGGTTCCAATGGGGACTTGGAGAGATCGTGAACTGGTGATTAAGCATATGGGAGGTAGAGATAGAGAGAATCAGCCGAGTCTTTTGTTGTTCGATCCAGTTGATGAAGGAACTAAAAGGCTTTCAGTTGATTGTGTTGAATTCTGTTTACAAGGTTACAGTTATGTGGAGAGCTTGGTGCCAGTCCATGGAAGAAGCTAAGATGGTAGAGGAGCAAAAGCATTCCCAAAGTTAGGTCGGTTTGGTTGTTTTCAACTTGCTTAGGCTTTTAATTTTAGTAGGTATAAATTGGTAAAGACTTTAGTTGAAGTATCTTTTTGTTTTATAAATGAACATGGATGGCTATTGAGTTTATAATGTTGCTTTCTGACTTCAATTTTTGGTATAATACATGGTGAACTTAGCAATGGACAAGAATGAGTTTCTCTTTTCTATATTTATATATATGTTTTCTGATGAGAGGCCTTACATTATACATGCTTATGTGGCGATTTCCTCCTTTCATTCTTTCCCACTCATTCCCAAAGGGAGAAGAAACTGGATTTCAGACCCTGTTGTGGTGTGGCAGAATCGGAGAACTATCATCGTATCACATTGGGTATTGAGCTATTCCTTCCTGTAGCTATTCAGAGCATGTTGGTTTTGGCTTATGGAAATGTTACATAGCCAATGCCCCCATTGCCCACTCTCTTGGATGATGGCACAGGAAAACCTTGCATTTTCTTGAGTATGTGTAGCAGTGGCCACGGACTATTGGAGAATGGTTATCTATCCTAATGGGCAGCACTAGCAAGACAGAGTAACTAAACCTCCTCAATAGCTTTGAGGTTTGAGCTGCCTCTTCATAATTATCTTGGAGCATAAAGTTTTGGCAGGGGAGGGAAACGAAGCCTTCTTTTCTGCTAAAAACCTGCCTTCCCTATACTATTTTTTTCATATGATTAGTAGATTGTGATTTCATTGTGAAATGTCTCTGGGTCTCTGGCTCTGTCATCTGATATCTGTCTTTCTTGTAAATCCTTTCCTCTTCTTTTGCTACTAACTCTGCCTTCAGTCACTGCCACTGGCTTCTCCTTGCATTACGATGAAGAAACTCTAATCCTATGTAATCCCGACACACCCTTCGACTCCCATTTAAGTTAATTCAAACTTTTCTTGCAGTGGCCTCCTCATCTTTCTCTCTTAACTTTGATTCTGCTTTAATCTAATTCAATCCCATGACAAGACAGTTAAGACATCCGCCTCAGCTCGTAAGCAAGCTTTGAGCATTGCACGAGCTACTATTGCCACAATTTTAGCGTAAAGCCAACTTTCATTTTCCATTGTTCAGCAAAAATCTCAACTTCCTAGTGTTTTTGTCTCATCTAGAAGTCAGAATACTCTGCAAGCATAGTTGTTTGCTCTTTGACTCATGAGATCATTGCTTTCAATAATATATCTAATTCTATCTCTCTCCTTTTTAGGGTTCTTGGGTTTACTGTTCTTTATTTCTTTGCGATAATGGACCAAAGAAGCAATCTCCCCTTTTATGAAGACCGTTGTTAGTTCACTTGAACTTGATTCTTACTTCAATTTTGAGGGAACTTTCCATGAAACTACTACAAATGCAAAAAGATGGAATATTCCTTACCAGAGCTCTATTTCTGAGAAAGCTAGCGGCTTACTTACTGGACAATCTCAGAAGTTTTCTTCTCTCACCCTAGTAGGATAGGGAACCTTTAGGCTTTATACTATTTTGTCAATGTTTTGCATCTCTAGCTGTCAGTTTAAGATATAAGGAAACATTAAGAATTTAGAAAACCAAGTAAGTGATTACTACTCACTCTAGTTATATGATTTATGAAGCCAGTATTCAGTTATGCATTAGTTCTAATTGTTTTTCAAAGTATCTACCATGTCTGAAAATTTCATTAGTTCCAAAATGAACTAAAAGCGAATCAATTTCTGCTGATACATGTGCCAATACGGTCATAGTTGTTAATTTCATTTCGATACTGATCACATTGACCGGTATACTTCAATTATATTAAAATATAATACATTTAAAGAATATTTTTTATACCGTATTTGATATCAGGTAATATTGATTGTTTTCATTGGTTTCAGTTAATTTAGATAAATTTTGATAGATTAGCTTATTTTAACCGATACGTAAATATGAAACATATTTTACAATTTTAATTTATTTTTTGTTGTTTGATTATTTTTAACCAAATAAAAATAATATTAATTGATAAAATAAACCTTAAAATTAAGTTTTTCTATTTTTTATTGTAACTTATTCTTTTTAAACTTTGTTTTTTCTAATCAAAGCTCATAAATATTTGAATCTTTTTTAAGAAAGTAATTGTACTTTCTTTTTAAAGCTTATCAATCGAGAAGTTAATGTTAATTTTTTCATTTCTTTGTTTTTATTTTAATATTTGTATAAAAAATATTTATTTAAAAATCATATAATCATATTAAATGTTTAAAAATATTATGATATTATTTTTATATTTTAAAATTTATTTATTTGATTTTTGAATATTTTGTATATTTATTTTGTAGATTATTAATAGTATTATAATGTACAAATTCATATATATTTATAAATAAATTTATATTAAATTGAAAAATTTGAAATGATATACCAAAACTATTAATATCAGTATATATCATATTTTTAAAGAAAATTGAAATATTATATGGTACAATATTAACAACCTTGAAGCTACAACACAAACAGACCAAAATGTTTCCTGAAGACTACCGAAAGTTATATCAAGCAACTAAATCTGGAAAAAAGGAAACTACTGCTACTAAACGAAACTTAAACATTTTCCCCCTCCTGAATTCTCTCACACTACTGTTATCAAGTTTCTTTATGATTCTATGCTTCTGCTAAAAGCTTGACAGAAAATGTTGTGCCTTGTTTTTCTCTCTTCTCTTTCCGTACCCATAGTTTGCGAATTATTATATTGGTCACAGCAACCTTGGATCATAACTCAATTGAGCATAGACCAAAACAAATAGGGAAAGAAAAAAGCACGCCTAAACTTCGGGACTAGGGTCAATTGCAGGAGATAATGCTTCCATGAGTAAAATGTCAAGACGGAGGATGTGCCATTCCGTCAGCATTGGCTCGAAAGTCTATAAAATCCAAATTATCCTGTTTTCGTATGATCCATTGATAAGATATAAGAAAATGCTTGCATGAATTGACCATAATAAGCTGAGCCTTTCTTCTGAAGATGATACTCGATGCATCCACGAACGAAGGCGTAAGTTCAATTGTTGACAGAGAACCTTTTTTAAACATCAACAATGGTAGAAGTTTTTTCTCTCGTCATGTTCTTTTTTATGTTTAGATACCTTGTCAAATAAAATTTACAAGGCTTTAAAAGTCTATTCATCTTTTCTACGTTTTCCTTCATTAATCCATTTCAAAATACTGTTATAGGGTCGTTGTTTTGAACAAGAAAAAGGTCGACAATTGAAAATATTTTAATGTCCCGATATGCCTGTCCTAATCTCCTGGCGTCCTTTTACTAGAACATGATTAACATTAATGCCAACACTGCAACTTTTTCTCATACTTTGTGGATGATTGTGATCGTAATGAGGGGAAGTGATATTTCTTCAAGGATCCCACTCCCATAGCATAGTACTTCAGCAATAATGAATATGGAAATCTGTGATAAAAGTGCAGAGTCAATGGTGGAAGCCACAGCAATTAATTACCTATGGGATGGATGATAAGTCCTGCACCTGCATCCAACACAATTGTTGATCATTATAAATTAAACAAGTTGAGAATCTTTGAATGGATGCAAATGATAGAGATGGGCATGCAGCTGGCAGATTAGGAAGTCAGTCACTAACTGACCCCTTTTTTTTTGTCTTAGAAGAGCCGATTTCTTTGGTAAGCCATGCAAGCTATATGAACCATGTATTACAAACAGTGACATAAATTTGGATAATGATCTGCACAATCGACGACAATCATACTTCTGGGCGATGCTGATTGCCGTGACGGTGATCGAGGAAGGAATTTCTCTAAAATTACCGACAGCTTAAGTTATGAGAACTCAGTTTGCCTTTCTTTTTTGATAGTATTGTAGATAATAACGCCTCGTGTGTAAATCTCATGTTCCCAAAATTATCCCGCAATATGTACATATATAATATCTGAGTTTAGAGGGCGTACTAAATACAACTTTTGGCATTTGATCTTAAACCTTTTCAGCATGCAGCATGATCACGAGTGCTGAATTGGGACTTCGAACGTGCAGGCTACTAAACACCATGTAGGCCTTTGCTCCCTCGCTGCCTCGAAAACTGATTCTGACTAGTGGCTAATACGATAAATCACACAAGAAAGGACCATTGGAAAAGTGAACAAAGTTAAGCTTTTAACCCCACCCCTGGAGTTTCTAACCTAATCGCATAGATGCTGACAAATCTATATCTTGACTTGCCTGCTCCATATGGACCAAAATTGACCGTACAGACGAAACACACACACACACATATATATATTTATATAAACATGGAAATGAAAATTTGTTTTGAATGCTTGCTTCTTTTGTTTCTTCTGCTGATCATTATCTTTCAGCCCGCCAACAAAAAAATGAGGGTAAATTTAATGCTATAAATTGTACTTAAATGGATATGTATGATCTGAATCTAGAATTACCAAGATGGCTAATGATTCATATCGATCCATGTTATATGATCTATAAATGTACAAAAGAATAGTTAAGTCTCTGTTTGCATTGTTGTTCTAGTACACAATAGGATAGAGATTTGGACCATCTCTCTTCCATTACATATATAGATCTTCACTCATTTATAAAACTGGGGACTAGAACTAGAATGACAGTGAACAAAAATAGATGTACATATATTAATAAATAATTTTGTCCAATTGATTTATGTAATAATATTTAAAATGTAATAGTTAATAAATTTAAAATTCAAATCTTAATACTTAAAATCTCTTTCTTTATTTTTAGGCTAGACTTCCTTCGTAAAAGAAATGATTTGGCAATGATCACATAAAAACCAGAAGGATTTAATCCAATAGAAATACAAACTAAAGAGAAACCCTAACATGTGGTACTTATAGAATGTTAATCACCCTTCTTTTCCCTCAATTGCAATCGTTCCTGACACATGCAAGCATTGTACATTTAGAGGACCCTACCCCTAAATAATGCAAATAATATATCATCTAATTACTAGTCTGTTTGAAGTATTTAACTTCTTTTCCATTATTGAAAACCAAAAATGATCATAATGATTGAAGCAATTTTCTATAAAAATATGATTTGCGAACCCAAGTTGTAACGATTTCAATCATATAATAATATTGAAATCAACCCCACATCAAGACAACAGATTATGCTACGTATAGTGTTTGACATATATTTGATACATACAAACAAGATTCAAGTGTAGGAAAGAGTCTCGACTAGCTTGCCAGTTTCAAGTGCCACAATGGTTGGTAGGAATTCTTACCCTATTTTTCATTATAGTGGCTGATCTTTTCCACATTATGAAGTAACCAGCCTATGTGGGGATGATAAACTTTTGTTTTTTTTTTTTGTTTGTGTTTTTTGTGTGTTTTTTTATTTATTTATTTATTTATTTTATTTTTATAATTTCACAAACGTCTAAAAGAATTTTAAGCTTTTAAGCTAAAGGATAAGGCCGTAGCTTTCACAAAAATTGAATTATGTGACGTCTATCCAACCAATTCCCATGGGTCCTATCTTCTTGTGGCTAGACGGGCAATAATGGACGAAATATATAATGCTTAAGATTTTAGAGTTTAGATCATAAAATAAATTGTGAACTGTTCTTTTTCGTTTTTTTTTTTTTTTTTTCATTTGGAGGATAATAATTATTAATGATGGACTGGTCAGCTATTAGCTCGTTCATATATAATTAATTATTTATTATTGTTTTCATAATAAATATATAAAAGCTTCACTGTTGTGATAATTTCTCATAAATATTTGCATGTTGTTAATGTGCGCCAGAAGTGAATGAAACTATACTATCTCAACCGTTTAATTAGCTACAATATTTCCTCCTGATGCATCTCTTATTCTTTTCTCTCTTAATTTCTCGTTCAAAAGGTTGTGGTTTTTACAAGGAAGGATGGTGGCATTTGTAAAGCGACGTAAGATGAAATTAAGAGTCCACTGCTTTTGTACCCTAGCTACCCGGTTATCATTTTTATTACTTTGATAAATTTGTAGAGTGTTTTTCCAGCAAATAAACTTGAACATGGAACATGAAGACGTAGATAAAATGCGTACTAAATGTTAAAAGAGGAAGATGATAACTCCTTTCAAATGCAAACGTACACAACATAATTTGCAAAAGCTCTTTTTCTTCTTTCTCCAATTGGATAGTACAATTGCGTACTGCCTTGCAACATCCAGCCAATTATACTGGACATTTTGTCGAGTGATTGATATATAAATCTTATTTAAAAAAAAGTAAAGTTTGATTTTTTTTTCTTTAAATAAAAACAATTAATTTAGTTAATTGCATTGAAATAAAAATAAAGAATAAAAAGAAGAGTTGATATATGCAAGCCTAAGTTGGAAAGTTTGGGACTTGGGCTACCAGATTGAATGGTTTTGTCTCTTTCTTTTCACCTTTTCTTTGAAGTTTTATTACTTCTCTTCTCAACATGGTTGATCAAAGAGAGGCTTTATTGAGGAAAGGGATTCATTGGTTCAGCACTACATCTCATTACAGCAATTGTAGACATTATTTTCACAAAATTAGAAAAGGTCGGTGAATCATTTTCCTTTGAGTTGACACAATTAGTCTACATGCTGAGCCTCAATGATTAATGGGAAACATATATGTCAATCAAAATTTCCCTTTTACGCCAGTAAAAGAGATAATAACAACCCTATACTGGTTTGATTACCATTATGGGTAGTA